TGTTAAGGAAAATCTACGAAAGTGAGACCTTTTTTTTTTTTAAACAGTGACTCACCAGATAGCTGATGTTGTTCCAGCTAAGCAACCCTAAAGAGATGCAAGTCAAACTAGCATGGATTTATGTCTTGATTATTTTCCAAGGTGCTGAGCACCTGTATTTCTCATTGTGTTTAATGGTATTTGTGAGCACTCAGCAGTTCTGACAATCAGCCCATCTAGCTTTAAGCACATTTGATACAGGAGCTGGAAATATGCATGTAATTTCTGTGAGGTAGGGATTTGTCTTTTTCAAGTTAAGAGTTCAAAAAAATAGCAGTCATCATTCTGTGCATATCTTGGTTTTATTCCCAGAGCTCTATGTTCTGTTAAAGAGGTACAGGGGGTGCTTCACAGCCTTGCTCTGGTCCTTTGGATTGCTTTGGTGGTGCAAAAGGATTGGAAACTATCCACATTTTCCCAGTAGCTACAGAACTAATATAAAGGGCTCCCTATCTATTGCTGCTACCATGATACAGGATACATATGGAGGATGTAGCGAGAGTGTGCCAGATGGTTGGCTAGGGACTGATGCCAGCTGGCACAAATTAGAGCATCATATGCTGGGGACAGTGTGGGACATGCTGACTCCCTGATCGCCTCTCCTCTTAACCACCACAGAGAATTGACCTCTTATATTATTTCTGATCCTATGTCACTTCATTATTCATTCTCTTCTTTCTTGAAGGGAAGAAAGTATTCTTTTCTCCCCTATGACACTGGTCCAGAACTCCCAGATTCTCTGGACATTGCTATGATAACGTCACACATCCTATTAGCCTTTGGAAGTCATCTTTCATCCTCAAATAAATGCAACTTAATGAACATCTATCTACCAGTGAAGAGACTGGTTCTTGGTGAGACTGAAGTTTTGTAAAAACAGAATGGTGTCATTAAGTGCTGTCTTGATTCCTGTATCAGTGTCTGCTTGTGCACCATTAGCATAATGTTCAAGAGAGTGCTTCAAGTTAGAACTTTTAATATTTTAAAGAAATTAAGCAGCGGTTTCATTTTATAGCAGAGATTTTATATTTGAGATTTTTACCAAATTAGACAGGTGTTAATCAGATGGAGTGTTCTGGGCTAGATCTGTGGAAAAGGCAAAAGTAGATGTCACCAACTGGTGATTCGTACTTGCACAGAAAACTTTGCAGATGCTCTGATGGCTCCCAGTGGGCCATGCTGCAGAATGTGCCTCACTTATGAAGGTGAAAGGCATCTCTGAGCGGAGTCATTTCCTCTGTTTACAGGATGTGACTGTATCCCAGCAGAATCCCCTTTTTGCGCAGAAATGCAGATGGAATGTCATCTTCAGGCACAAGGGTGTCCAGGACCACATGGAGAGGCCTCTGCTTTATTTTGTTTATGAGGACAAGTTTTAGCAGGAGCTTGAAAGATGTCGCACACCCTATGTGGCACTATGCAGTGCTGCACTTCCTGTTTCATTCTCTCTCCCTTTCTCCTCCTCCGCCACACCCTCCTGTTACAAAAACTAAAATGAAGGATGCAGCTAGGCTGTATTACAGCAGCAGCATTGGGCTTATCTTGAATGTGATTTATTCTTGTTAGTTAAATAACTGAAGCTTCCCAATACCTGTCACATTCAGTCCTGAAATACCAAATGGAAGGAAGAGGGGATTAGGTTTAAGCAGCACCATCCCTTGGCCCAGCAATTGATGTTATTCTGGAAATGATCCAGTGAGGACTTAATACTGCTTGGAGCTTCACTGGAGTCATTCTGGGATGGCAGCTTTTCATTTGGAGGAAAAACCAGTCCATGGTTGCACTGCTGTATCCAGGCTGCAGGGCTTAGACGGCAGGCCAGCAGAGCTCCTGGGTATTATTATTATTATGTTTGTTCATTTATTATTTCAAAGAGATTGAGCCATCCATGGCAATGGCTCCAAGCTCTGTTCTGCAGGCCCTCACTTGGTGGGCTAGAAAGGCCCGCTTCGGTACAAATCACAGACACCTCTTTGCTTTGCAGAAAACTTCATTACATCTGCCTCAGAATATTACTTGTTGTCTGTACAACTAAGCTGTTCTTCCCCTTAATCTGCTTTATCATGCTTTTCTGCTGCAAAGAATGTTTCAATCACAGAAAAATAAGGCTGGGAGTGACCTCAGGATGCCATCTAGTTCCCACCATCTGCTCAAGGCAGGAACATCTCTGTCTGAAACTATCTTATCCAAATGTTTGTCTAACCTGCTTTTAAAAACTTCCAATGATGGCAACTTCATGGTTTTTCTAAGTAATCTGTTCCAGTGCTTAACCACCATCATCATTAGAAATGTCTTCCTAATATCCAATCTAGATCTCCCTTGTTGCAATTTAAGCCCATCTTCCACTGTTTTAAAGCGCATTCAAATCACATGGTCATAAAGAAGGCAACACTTGAATTTAATGTGATCTTTATTTGCACAGTGACTGCAGAGTCAGGCTAAAAATTCTATTTATTTGTATATGTAAGTGTCTGAGTAGAAAAGGTGACCAAACACTCAGCCCACATGCCAGACCAATGCAGAACACGAGAGCAGGTCATGTTCAGCGTGTGAAGAGCTCATGATCATGAGGCTGACCAGCTTGTGATCAGACAGCCTTAACAAATCAGGAGCTGCAGGAGAAGCGTGACTGCCTGGCCAGCAGACACACTCTCTTAACTGTAAATCAGCAGCCTCCTCTGATTGGCTGAAGAGTTTATAAAAGGGACAGCGCGCTAAAGCGCAGGGTCCCGGGTTCCACACAAGCCCTTGGATAGGACTGATCACCCTGTCCAGGAATCCGTGTCCCCATGGCCGAATAGTACGAATAGTCATACGAATAGTCACACTCTGGCTATTATTTCACCGAATAGTGAGCTCTCCATCCGCACGTACATCGGAAAAAGCAATTGCTATCTCCTACCTGTCATCTTTAATTACTGCTTCACCACTGTCGTTTTGTTGTGTAACCACTGTTGAAATCTTACTGTAAGTAAACTTTAAGTTCAATTTTACTATCTTCCAACTGAGTCAGTGTCCCTTTCATCCCCGGCCTGTCCATAAGGCGGGTTGGTCATCCACCCGCCCCCCGGTTCGACTGGTAAACTGCCTGGTGACTGCTGCGGTTACTAACAGTAAGTACCATAAACATGCACAATGTGGCACGTCAAAGGTACAGGGCCAGTTTGAACTCAGAATCACCTTCATTTCTGCATTCTTATGTCTGGCTGGCAATCTGACATCATTGTTTCTAAAAACCTCTGAGTGAACCCAATTCATGGGAATCAACATGGTTTGTTACAGCAGAGCAACCAAGCAAGAAGAGATTTACTGCAGCATGGAATCAGAGTGATACGATCTATTAATTAATTCAACACTTCCTTTCTAAATGGAGTACCTTGGGCCAGGTTTCGCAAAGCTGGTGTGCAGAGGTGTTAGTTACAGTTCCCAGTGCCAGCCAGGTCTCTTCAGTGAAGACTCCTTATGTTTCTGTCAATTCCTTCTCTTGGGGTTTTCCTCTGAATGGAAGTGGCTGTAGTTCATCTCCAGGAGGCCTGGGCAGAGGCAGCTTCTCAGAGGAGACATGGAATCAGCACATTTCCACACCGTCTTGCCCATGCCTTCCTTCCAGGGGCCTCCCACTCTTCAGCTACCAGTGGACTCACACCTGTTGTGTGGGAGACTTCAAGTTGTTTTCCCAAAGTTGGGCTCCGAAACTCTGAGCCTCCCCCAGGCAGCCATGCTGTACCCTACCCAGCAGCTGGATTAGGCCCATGGGAGTGCATATAGTGACAGGAGACTGGCCACATCCACATGAGGAGCTATTTTGCTGCATGGCATTTTCCTTGGGCCTTGCTTGGCATTTCCTTGGGCCTTCCTAGACCCATGGGAGTGCATATAGTGACAGGAGACTGGCCACATCCACATGAGGAGCTACTTTGCTGCATGGCATTTTCCTTGGGCCTTGCATCTTCAGAACAATAACATCTGCCTTTGTGTTTTGTCTTTAGGATAAAAACAGCAGTGGTTGCAACAAAAATAATGACTGTGTTGCAGTGTTTTGCCGGGCTACCAGTATGCAGACATGAGCTTTCCATGTTTAATAACTTAGAGCAGGAGTCAGCAACATTTTTGGGCAGAGAACACCTGCAACCTTAACTTGTAAGATGTTGGCATGCCAGGGGCAGACAGCAGGGGAGCTATGAGGTTTTGGATCATGTTTGTGGAAGCGCCACCCTGGCCCTTTCCCTCACA